TAATTCTATGTTTAATTTTTAAGGGAATCACTGCTAATTTTTTGTCATAGCAGCTGCACCAGCAGTGCACAAGGCTTCCAATTTTTTCACATCTTTGCCAACACTTGTTCTCTCTCTTTAAAAAAAAAAATAATAGCTATGTTAATGGGTCTGAAATGTTATCTCATTGTAATTTTGATTTACATTTCTTTAATGACTAATTACGTTGAGCAACTTTTCATGTGTTTATTGGCTATGTGTATCTTCTTTGGAGAAATGTTTAAGTCCAATGTCCAGTTTAAAATTGGTTTGGTTTTTTTTGTATGTGTTTTGGTTGTTGACCACCAATTTTTTTTTATTATCTTTAGAGTTTTGCCTTTTCCAGTATGGTTCAGAGTTGGAATCATATAGTATGTAGTCTTTTCAGTTTGACTTCTTTCACTTAGCAAAATATATTTCCTCCATGTCTTAAATAAATTGCTAGCTCATTTCTTCTTAATGCTGAATAATATTCCATTATATAGATTTACTATGGTTTGATTATTCATTCACCTATTGAAGGATATTTTGGTTGCTTCTAAAGTCTAGCAATTATGAAAAACACTGTTATAAACATTTAAGTGCAGGGGTTTTTGTGTGCACATACATTTTCAGTAACTTTGGTTAATAAGAAAGAGCACCATTGCTGGATCCATATGGTAAGAGTACTTTAGTTTTGTAAGAAACTGCCAAACTGTTTTCAAAGTAGTAGTACCATTGTGCATTCCCACCAACAGTGAATGAGAGTTCTTGTTGCTTTACATCCTTACCAGCATTTGGTGGTGTCAGTGTTCTAGATTTTGGCAATTTTAATAGTGTGTAGAGGTATCTCATAGTTGCTTTAATTTTCAATTCTCTATCATTTGATATGCTTACTTGCTATTTGTACATATTTGGTGAGGTGTTCAGGTCTTTTGTCCATTTCTAAATTGGATTGTTCATTTTCTTATTATTGAATTTTAAGAGTTTGTTGTATATTTTGGGTACCAGTCCTTTATTAAATAGGTGTTTTGCAAAGATTCTCTCTCAGTGTATATTATCTTTTCATTTTCTCTTAACAATGTCTTTTGGAGAACAGAAGATTTTAATTTTAATGAAGTCAGACTTAATTTTTTTTCATGGATTGTGCTTTTGGTTATATATCTAAAAAGTCATCACTAAACCCAATATATATTTTCTCATAATTTTATTCTTGAAAGAAAAAATGTATGTATAGCTGTATTTTTTATCTTTTCATTAATCTGTTCTTTTAATTTTCTTGCATTGCAATTTTTAAATATATTTTATTGATTTTTTTACAGAGAGGAAGAGAGAGGGATAGAAAGTTAGAAACATCGATGAGAGAGAAATATCAATCAGCTGCCTCCTGCACACCTCCTATTGGAGACGTGCCCACAACCAAGGTACATGCCTTTGACCGGAATCAAACCTGGGACCTTTCAGTCCACAGGCCAACACTCTATCCACTGAGCCAAACCAGTTTAGGCTTGCATTGCAAATTAATTTTTTTGTTAGGTAATAAAATAACCTGGGTTGGCAACATAGTGGCTTTTTTAAGTTATATATAACACTCTGTGACCCAGAAAACAGATTTATTGCTCTGAATTCCATTTTCTCTATCAGTGAGCATTAGAGAGTCAGAGTGCCCTTCCTGTCATAAACATCTAGAATGCTCATGCCTTTAAAAAAAATTCTTTTAATGGGCCTAATTGGGGCAGAGGAGGTGTGTGTGTGTGTGTGTGTGTGTGTGTGTGTGTGTGTGTATAAATGTTTTAAAGGCTATTCACCTAGAAGTTTCTTTTCTTTTCTTTATTTCTTTTTTAATCCTCACCTGAGGATTTGTTTTGCATTGATTTTACAGAGAAAGGAAAGAAAGGAAAGGGAGAGAGAGAGAAACATCTATGTGAGAGAGAAACATTCGATGGGTTGCCCATGCATGTGCCCCAACCAGGGATGGAACCCACAGTCTGTGTAGGTGCCCTGACTGAGAATCAAGCCAATAAACCTTTAGTATATGGGTCGAAGCTCTAACTACTGGATAACACCAGCCAGTGCTCGTCTAGAAGTTTCTTAAAGTGAGAGGTGAACCTATAATCCTTAGACACAGCCCACGTGCCTCACAAGCACAGCTGTACTCTATGGTCAGGTGGGAAAGCAAGTTCTCAACACGCTGTGAGCGGAACAGGCATAGGCACACCACACCAAGAGGAGCAATGCAGCCCTGCTCCTGTGGCTCTGTGGTTGAGTATTGATCATTCCATGCACTGAGAGGTTGTTGGTTCAATTCCCAGTCAGGGCACATGCTCAGATTGCAGACTATATCCCTGATAGGTGGCATGCAGGAGGCAGCTGATTGATGTTTCTCTCTCTCTCTCTCTCTCTCTCTCTCTCTCTCTCTCTCTCTCTCTCTTCTCTCTCTCTCTCTCTCTCTCTCTCTCTCTCTCTCTCTCTCTCTCTCTCTCTCTTTCTCTCTCCTCTCCATCTCCCTTCCTCTCTTTTTAAAAATCAATTTAAAAAGTATATTAAAAATAAAGTGATTCGGGGTTTTGTACGTAGCAGAGCAGCTCCCTCGCTGCGATCTATTGAAAGTCAGCCCTCGACACAAGGGTTTGTAAAAAATGAAAAATAAAAAAAAATAAAAATAAAGTGATTATTGATAGGTATGTATTTATTGACATTTTATTCTTTTAACTATGCTCTTCTGTGGTTTTCTTTTTCTTCTCCTTCTTAAAGCAGGCCCTTTAACATTTCTTGTAATACTGGTTTAATGGTAACAAAGTCACTTAGATTTTTCTTGTCTGGGGAACTCTATATTCCTCCTTCAATTTTAAGTGATAGCTTTACTGGGTAAAGTAGTCTTGGTTTTATGTCCTTGCTTTTCATCACTTTGAATATTTTATGCCAATCCCTTCTGGCCTGAAAAGTTTCTGTTGAAAAATCAGCTGACAGTCTTATGGGAACTCCCTTGTAGGCAACTAACTGCTTTTCTCTTGTCATTTTAAAGATTCTTTCTTTGTCTTTAACCTTTACCATTTTAATCATGAGGTATCTTAGTGTGGACCATCAGTAGATGAGTGGATAAAAAAAAAAAACTTTGGTACATTTACACAATGGAATACTACTCAGCTGTTAAAAAGAAGGGAATCTTACCTTTTGTGACAGCAAAGATGGACCTGAAGAGTATTATGCTAAGTGAAATAAACCAGTCAGAGAAAGACAAATACCATACGTGGAATCTAATGAGCAAAATAAACCAACAAAGTGGCGACAGACTCGAGGATATAGAGAACAGACTGACAGCTGTCAGAGAAGAGGGGGTTGGGGGATGGGTGAGAAGAGACAATAGTATGGTGATTGCCACAGGGAAGCGAGGAGGGGAAGGAAGAAGGGAGAGAGGGCAAAATGGTAATAGAAAGAGACTTGACTTGGGGTGGTAAAACACAATACAATATACAGTGATGTATTGTAGAATTGTATTCTTAAAACATAAATAATTTTATTAACCACTGTCACCCCCATAAGTTCAATTAAAAAAAAAAAAAGATCCCAAACAAACAAACAAAAAAAGAATATAAAATTATGTTTAGATTGTTGACTCTTTCTTCTTTAGTCTTATCTTGGAAGCTACATTAAATATCTTGAGAGCAGGAAAGCAACTCCACTGAAATGTCTTTGTACACTTGACGCTACCCAGCTTGGGGATGAATACAGATTGGGAGTTCACAATACCAGTTGGGTGGAGGATTGAATACTGAGGAAAGGATCAATTAGCCTCTGCATATATTTTGAGCTCAAGGATTTTTGGCTGTGAGACCAAGTCATCTAGGGCAAGACTCTCTCAAGGAAAATTCAGAAAACCTGGAATGTTAGAGAAATATGACAGTATCCACTGAGGTAGGGAAGGTAACATAAATGGAAAGAGTATAGGAGTGATGAGTCTTGAGGGTGAATTAAGAAACAAGAAGCCTCCTTGATGGTTTTAAATATCCAGGTAAAAAAATTATATATATATATATATATATATATATATATATATATATATATATATATTTTTTTTTTTTTTCCCCCAAGCAAATAGCAGACATCCAGAGTAGATCAGTACATTTAACCAGATCAGCAACTAGTTTATCATTTTAAACCAGAAGTGGCCACTAACCCATCTCTGCAGGTAGTCATATCCATGAGCAGATAGAGTTCTATAACATGGTAACAAACAAAAACCAGCTCTAGAAATTCAACTGTTAAAAGTACTCCACACATGAGTCTCATTAGAGTATCTCCATGAAATATAGTGTTTACAATCTCTTCCCAGTCATCTGCAAGCTTAAGGCCACATAGCAATTGGAGATACTATCACCTTGGCCATACTGAGGAGTTTTCAGAGATACTTGCCCTGCCATGTTAGCCATGGTCCCCTTTATGCACTTCTGATTTCCCATCACACATTGCTGATAATATCAAAGCTCTCCATTTCCAAGCCATAACCAGATTCTACCCACCCTCAGTTTGTGTATGCTTCTTACATATATTTCCAGTATAGATGGGGGTGAAGATACTTCTGTACCTTTTTCTCAAGAGGTGTCCTGTGTCCCTAGACACTCAGTTTTCTGGGGACAGGTGGCCAGAAAACTGTCGTGACGGAGAGAACCAAGTCATCAGGCTGGTGGAGAGTGTGGAAAGTGAAGACAAAGTGGGCACAAAGACACTGCCTATGCGTGGGTACCTTTAGTCTCTGGCTCTGTAATCTTTACAGACAACCAGACACACTCATCGACAGACTGAATCACCACACAAACTTCCCTAAGGCACGAAAGTCTTTGGCCCTTTGTCTTGTGAAACAGAAAGACTTTGTGATGCAGTCGGGTGCCATGGTTCCATCCTCTGTGACATGGGAATGACAAGGCATGGCACTGGGGGTCATTAGGTGCTAATGACCTAGATATAAAGAAGGGTCGTCTCCTCGTTCTTGGGAGTTTTAAACCATGTTGAATCCTACTTTTATCCTATGGGATTTGATGTATCCCTTATATGCCTATGGCTCCATCTTTATTATCGTACTAATTATCTGGCAAGTGAAAAGTAGTTATCATGGATTAAGGTTAGAAACTAGAAGGAGCTGCTGTCAGGTAGGGAAATACTATGATTAAACTGATTAAGCCTTGGATAAGAAGCGTTTAAGACCTCAGAGTCTTTCCTTTTACCTTCCCTACCCATTTTTATACCATACATTTATTTACTTTAATATGGTACTTTTCTTCTCAGAAACTAGAATAATTCCTGACTAGACTATCTAGGTAATGTATTCTAATAGAAAATCCAAGCACACTTCTATTAACCTTGATGGAGACCTAGATTAAATTAAAGCTATATCACTAGATCTTAGAAAACTCCCCGATATGAAGGATTCTTTCCATTAGTGGTCCATTAAGGTATTTGTTAGCAAAGGTCCTTTGGCTATTAGATCTACACACCCTTTAGTTCCACTCTTTCTCATTTCATCATAAACCTCACATAGAACTTCCCTTGAAAATGAAAGGGAGATTGAAGAGTATGGAAGTCTTTTTTTTTTTTTTTTCATGCTAACACATAAAGGCAATATTAGATGAAAATCTATGTGTTTTCACAGAAATCCTGGTGAAGCCCCTAGTTGGTTTGCATGTATAATTTTTTAAAAATAATCATTGTTGAAAGTATTACACATGTCTTCTTTTCCCCCCCACTGATCTCCTCTGGCCTTCTCCTTCTTCCTCCTCTCCCCCAAACCTTCAGCACTCTATTATCTGTGTCCATGGGTTATGCATATATACATACAAGGTGTTTGGTTGATTATTCCCACCCACTCTTCCCTACCTACCCACCCTCACCTGCCTTCCCTTTGAGATTCCACACACTGTCCCATGCTTTGAATATGGAAGAGTTTTGAAATAAATCAGAAGCAAGCAGAGAAAGGAAATGTTGGGGTGAAAAGGATGGAGGCAGAAATGAAAGTAAATAAAAATATAGACATATGAATAGAAAGGGATTAGTAAACAGATTTGTCTCATTTTGGACATAAAAATGTCCCAGTTTCATGCTTTAACTTTTTTGTCTTTAAGCGTCACCGAAAACTCAGACAAAGGGCTAGAGATGCAGCATCAAGAGGTAAAGTCCTAGTCTCTTCTCTGACTTCCCTCCCATTCCATGTAACACTGTCTCCTGGTTTATTTTTATTGCTTTTTTTTTTTTTTTTTGTCTCCTGATTTCTCAGCCGGAAAACATTCCTGCAAAGAAGATGAGAAGCCATGGGAGCTGCTCTCTGTCATGAAAAGGTGATCACTTGCTCTTTGTAGTCTTCCCACTTCAGCTTGAACAGTGATGATTTCTATACTTGACCTGGGGCAGGGATGAAAAGAGGACTGATGACTGGGAGAGAGTCAGACACAGCAGAAGCTGAGTATTGGTTGAGGAGGTTGCCAGAACGAGGAAGGCTCAGACATCTCAGAAAAGAGGAGTCTCCTACTTCTGCTCTGGGCTAAGCTCACGGTGCTCCTGGAATTCAGAATTTGAAATTGTACTTAATTTCTAAAAGGCTCTGCATGGCACTGCACTCAGCTACAAGACAGTTTTTTCAGCCAAGAGAATCTAACCTAATAATAGAGTAATATGCAAATTAACCACCACACTGCTACATGAGCCGCTCCCATCAGCCACACCCACCAACCAATCAGAGCACATATGCAAATCAACCCAACAAAGATGGTGGTTAATTTGCATATGCGGAGGGAGGGAGGAGTGAAGACTGAAGACAGCATAGAAGGAAGAGGGAGGGAAGTGGAAAGCAAGGCAGCTGCAGCTGCTGGAGGGAAAGCACTGGCAGTGCGTGTGGGGTGGGGCGGGGTGAGGTGTGTGCAGCAGTGGAGGTGGCCGCAGGAGGCAGTGGGAGTGGTGGGCAGGGCAGGGCACACAGCAGCGAGAGAGGTGGGGGGGGATGGTGAAAGGGAAGCCCGCTGGAAGTCTTGCAGGAATATTCCTGCAACAGGTGCCTAGTGTATAAATAAGTGCATACATAAGTCATCACTGTCATATTCTTCTTACAGCTCCACCCTTTCAAGGAAAGACCCCTGGGCCCTACTGACGTTATCTCCTCTGGTTCTGTCTTCTGAGGCAGCCCCCAGGCAGGAACCAATTATCTCATATTCTTCCTAAAACCCCTAGAGAAAGGGATTGGCTCCCAAGAGATGTTATTTATAGATACAGCAACTCATCAGAGTCCCTAGAATGCAGGGTTTCCACAAGTACCTTATTTTCCAGAGTTTGGAAATATTGAATACCAGACTGTGGCCTTTTTAACCCAAATGAGACTGACTCCAGGTTCTACTTGGTGATGTTCCAGGTGATGCCCCATCAGCTAAGCACTGGCTCCCCCATCTGCCACATTCCCTTCTCCCGGTCAGCCGAGAACTCACCCCACTTCCCAGTTGTTCATGGCCCGGTGTTCTCATGAATGGCCTGCGACCTTGCCCTACAGGCCCCACATGCTCAGTCCAGCACACTATCACTTGCCAAATGGCATTTTCCTACAAAGAAAGGTTTAGGAAAGGTACGCACTAGAGTCAGGGAGAGGCCCCAGGGTGTACAGGACTAGGAAGGACAGGACCAATCTTCTTCGGGCCACAACTTCCAAAGAGGAAGATGTCACTCCATCGTTAACAGTAACCATGTGTTCTCTTCCAGCCACAGCTGGCTTCCTCAGGCGGGAAGTGTGCGGAGCCTCCTCTGTGCCGATACCAACTGCCAAATCTGCAATGCCGTGGCCCTGGAGATCCAGCGGTTGCTTGTGGGTGAGAACAGCCCGGTCTCTGCCACTTCACCAGGACCATCAGAGGGCTCTTCTTGCCTAGAGATGTTGTCCAAGTCCAATTTGTCTCTTGAGCAGAGTCTAGAGCATCATTCCATGCACCCAAAGGAGCTTTCATTTCCTTCTGCAGCCCCTTCAGTGTCACCATTTATGGATCAGAAATCCTTAACCTTGTCAGCGGCACAGCCAGTTAGTTCAGATAGCATCAAAGATTGTGAGGCTGAACACTCCCAGCCAGAGCAGGCATCTCAGGTGCAAGAAATTCCAGTGGATTCAGAGACTATAGTTTCTTCAAGGTTTGAGGAGCCTAGGAATACAGTGAACCAGCAGAATATAATGAAGAGCAACTGCAACTTTGTATATGGGAACCAAGGTCACCTGTCCTTGCATTCCCAGGTCCCTCTGTTGATCCTGAACCAAGAAATCACCAGCCTGACACATCCTATGGCCTTGCCTGTGGTCACTGTCCTCCCTTCCTACCTGCCATTCTCCAGCCCCGAAGTCCTGAGGCTCCTTGAGGTGCATGTAAAAAAATGGATGCATTTCCAGAGGTGGGGGCTGCCCAGACGTGTGGAGGAGTCCCTGAGGCAGCGAATGCCAAACCTGCCATTGTTTTACCAACCTCTAAACAGCCAGCCAGTTTCTTTCATACAAAATGAATTATCTGTAGAGACTTTTGTGCCCATTTCTTATCAGACCTGGGGTCCATGTACGGCTGGCCAGTCTACCCAGGCATTCTGGGTTTCTGAATGGTCCATGATAAACCCAATACAAAGACACCACTACCAGCAAAACCCAAACCACAAGGCTCTAGCCTTGCCCTCTCCAATATTTAAAGACTCAAGTGGCCTCTACTTACTTCCTGGGCAACAGGCTAATGACTCAGTGAGCCACTCACAGCAGAAATACATCCAGCTATTCTGCGGCTTACCTTCTCTGCACAGCGAGTCTCTGGCTGACACCTCCTTGGGCTCTCAAGATCACTCCGCACATGGGAGCATGTCCAAGCTCTCTGTGGAGGATCCTTTACTCTTCAAGGAGCTCTCCTTCCTCCCTCTGCTGCCTAAAACTCCACCTCACTCAGCCCCACCCTCTTCCCCAAGTTGCCCAAATTGGGTCATGCCATCTGGCCATCAACAAGCTCAGATCCGTGTCCCGCTTCTGACTCTGGCTGAGTGTGAAGCCTTAGAGTGTCACCTGCTGCAGAGGCAGCTCCAGCGTCAGGGGGGCCTGCCAGCTGTTCTCCAGCGAGCTCAGCACACCCAGAACCCCGTGCACTATAAGCCTTGTGGTAGAGCCCAGTCTCCTCGGACTGTGAAAACTGCCTGGCCGCCCACTTCTGTCCTCACAAGGGAGCTGTCCTGGTCAGAGCATGCCCGGAGGCTGCTGGACTTCCACCTCCAGAGGCAGCTGATTCACCATCGCTGGGGCCTGCCCCCGATGATCCAGCAGTCCTTCCAGTTGCTCCTGGCCCCCACTCACCAGCAGACTCCACCCTGGAGCAGCACAGCCCTAGCCAAGGGGAGTGTTTCCCAACATTCAGCCCTAGAGGCTCCTGGAGCTGATGACCCTTTCTCACCCTCTAAGGACCCAGTGTCAGCCCTCATGCCACACTTATTTGACGAGGTCAAGGCAATACTGCAGGGCCACATCAACTCCAAATGTGGGCAGATCCATGAGGGCAAGGTCCCTGCCCACGTGTATAGGTCTGGTGAGGGCCTAATTCCTGGGGGCATCCCAGAAAGCAAGCTCCTAGAACTACAGGCAGCAACCCACCCTGACCTACAACAGAAAGCTAGGCCCTGGATGCCAACAGGCCTTGATCAGCAGCAACAGATCTCCCCAGATGCAGTCACTGAGCCTCGTAAGCTACCTCAAGCCCTGTCCAAGGAAGTCCTTGAGAAACTGGAGATGATTTTCCGGCACAAGTATCTGGCCTTCTTGTCAGGGCTGAATCCTCTTTATTACGTGGCCCAATCTGCCCATGGGCCCTCCAAGGTGACCCAACCCTGTAGAGACATGGCACAGGGCCCAGTGCTTGATGTGCCGCTGGAGGCCAGTGTGGACCAGCCTGGCCTGGAGGAGTCCCAGATCCCTGAGTCCCAAAGCCCTGGCAAGAGCAAGTCCTCAGCCCCAGTCCCCATGCTGACTGAAAAGCAAGAAAACCCAAGGAAACCCAAATCACCAGGAAAACGTGGAGAAGGAGATGCATGGTTTGTGCTCTCCTCTACAAGAAAAAAAGGCTTCCCTGCTGGAGCCCAGAGGTCAAAAGGGATGCTTCTGAACAGGATATCCCAAAGACCTTGGCTACAGAGACATGGCTTTCACCTTGATGCTCTCTGTCAGCACAGTTCCCAGCATCGCCCTCCGCTTAAGCCCCCAGACCTCCTTCCAGGAGTCCCTGGTAGGAAGGAATCCAAGAAAAATGACCTGCAAGGCAGTCGAACCAGGCTCAATGTCAGCCTCCAGGGAGCGAGGATTCCTAAGAATGCCCAGCCTGTTGGGCCCCAGGCATCACAGGCCCAGCCTGTCCTGGCCCGACTCGTTCAGCCTAAGTCATTACAGGGCCAAACTTCGCAAGGTCAGGTATTGCAGGGGCCGGTGATGCCAGCCCATACTGGCAAGAGGCCCAGCTCTCCGGAATCAAAATTGAGATATAAGATGAAATCCTTTCTGCAGTATATAAACCTCAAGGCAAAAGGCAAAGAGCCCAAGGAATCCATGTTTGTGGCAGCTGTGCAAGTGGCCCCCTCCAGCAAAGAACATGGAGCAAAGAGGCTGGCTCCAGCCAAACGTCCCATGAAGCAAACTAAGACAAAGATGCAGATAAGAGGGGACCCCAAAGCCCACACTCCCCTGACTGAGAAGCGCGTGGGCCTGGCCTCCTTGGCAGGCTCCCATTCCCCACACAGTAAGCTCCTCTGCTCCTGCTCCCATCAATTCCCGTCTGCCTCAGGCTTAGGCCACCCCACCACTGCCTTTGGCACTTTCCTTGAGTGGCTTGTGCTACCCAGCCTGGATCCCACACCAATTCTCAACTCTTATCTCTAAGGAAATGTTGGCCTGCTCAAGGAGATCTAGCACAATCAAAGGACTTTGTAGGCTCCTTCAGGTCTTCATCCCTTGAATGGGCAGCTACTGTTCTTTTTCATTAATGTGCAATGGGACAGACAGCACTCCACCCAAAGTACAGTCTGTATCTCTAAGCAAATAATTGTCTGTCTGTTTCTTTCCTCCACTGTTGCATGTTAAGGGAAGGCGTGAGGGGAGCTAAAATGTCATTTCTATCTAGGGAAAGAGCTTTAATCCACATTTATGTGGGGTCAGCATTCTATACCACTCCTCCAAGCCCCACCCTGGACAGTGGATAAAGGGACTTGAGCAGAAAAGGAAGACTCTCATTTAAGGTGCATTGAAGGGAAAGATCAGACTTAAATTCTAGCATGGCTTCCCATGGTTTCCTTGGGCCCAGAGAACCAATATGGACATGAGGATAGTACTGACAAGAAGTGGCTAGGAATCCCACAGGCAAAATTCACTGGTGACTTTTATATATGGCCATATCTGGAGAGGATCTTTTTAGAGAAATGTCACAGTCATCCAACCTTGAAAAGGGGCTTTATGTTTATCAAAATCACAAAGCTAATGTGATGTAATGTCCAAAGCAAATGTTAGAATCTCCCCCTCTCTGCTCCCTCTTGGTTATTGGTTAGATCTTTCTGGAGAACTAATCTGGTAGGCTACTGTAGCTCTCTTACCTATATCCCACCTCCACTGCCTGCCATCTACATGGAGTGAGTCCTGCAATGAAGATCCCAGTAGGATATGGAGAGGGGCTTGTTTCCCATCCCCAAGAGCAGGTAGGAGGAAGGCAGGGAGGGGAGCATATAGACAAACAGAGGTCTGAGTATCTGGGATAGAAACTGACATGTCCTGACCAGGCTGTGTAAGGGAACAAAACCAATTTGATTTGTACTCACAAGAACCTAAAGCCAGAAGGCCAACCAAGGCCCAACTGCTTTGCGGGGAATTAATTAAATCTGAGCTTCAATCTGCTTGCCTATGGTGTTACAAAGGAAAGTGAGTTTTGGCAAGGAACCACAAACTGAAGGGGTTTGCTAACGGTCTGGGCTTGTCAAGTTATCACCAGCAGCTTATACTTGGTACTATTGCTGTCTCATTTCTACATCACCTACACCTGGGATTCTGCTCCACTTTCTTCTTTCCACCAACCTTGTCTCCTTGGGTGTTGGGGGGTAAATCATACATAGATAGATAGACTTTAATGTATTTCATGTATATTACATGGTGTTGAACTTAGCTATATCCCTTTCCCAGGACCTACCTAGTTGCCTCCTTTGGTGACTTCCCCAGATGGTAACTCCCGTCCTTTTGCCAACGAAAGGCTAAATCATATAAGCCTTCTAACTCTTTGCCTTTTGCCTTGAGATTTATGTATTGTGGAAACGATTTCATCTTATATCTCAAGCCTGATTCCTGTCATCCTTTCCCATATATTAATGTCCCATCACATTTCATAAAAGCACCAGGACTATTCACCTTGACTGTCAAAGTTTAAAGGTTTTAAAGGCTTTTGGAAAGTAACTTGTGCCATTAACCAACCACAGAAAGTGGCCAGAATCTAGAATGTAATGGTATACACATGAGTCTCTAGCAACAAGATAGCTGCTCAGAACAAAAATGGAATTGCCCTCTCTGAGACTGTCCAAATTTTCTATTCCAGAGAAATAACTGTTTATCATTAATGGACATATAATGTGAAATTCTCTGAAACCCTTGATATGAAATGCTGAAACCCAAGAAAAAGGCTGAGAGGCATGCTGAGATCTGTAAGCAGCTTTTAAGAAATGTAAGCCCACACACACTCCCACCTCTACAAAAAAAAACAAAAAACAAAACAAAACAAAAAAAAAAACGCAAACACACAAAAAAATTATATCTTGTCCACTCCCTCACACAGAGACTCAATGAAGTTCCTCATGTAGACCTGTTTCAGGAGGCCTCCCAAATAACTTGTCACCCTGAGACATATACATCTCTTTCCTGCTTTCTGTTCAGTTGGTCTACACTTTTTATTTTTATTTTTTTATTTTATTGATTTTTTTACATTGAGGAAGAGAGAGGGATAGATAGATAGAAACATCAATGAGAGAGAAACATCGATCAGCTGCCTCTTGCACACCCCCTACCAGGAATGTGCCTGCAACCAAGGTACATGCCCTTGTCCGGAATCGAACCTGGGACCCTTCAGACCGCAGGCCAACGCTCTATCTACTGAGCCAAACAGGTTTCGGCTATCTACACTTTCATCTCTAACCCCCAGAACCATCACCAAATAGGTAACCTACCAACACCAGTAGCCTCTGTAGTACCGCCACGGAATGGATCTCTTAACAGTGGCCATCATACTCATGTTCTCTTGACCTCCTGAAGAGGTGTGAAGTGGACGAAGTGGATCCTGTCCTACCTTCTCCAGTTAACTGGGATGGAGCAGGTATTGGTCTCCCTGAAAGGAATACTGAGACCCTGGACCCTTAAGGAGGCTATGGCAGAACAGCATAGCTCAAGGTTGTGCTTGTTCTACTCAATATAAGCTTAAGTTTCAGTAAAATACTTGGGGCAACTTTAGAAGGTAACTTCTGGCTGAAGTGGATGGAGAATGATTTCAGAGACAGATGATAAACATGAACAAAGGGCAGCAAAACTACAACACCAGGAAAACATTACAAAACTCTCGAGCATGTGTTTTCATGATTTTCAGCCCAAATGTGTGACCCTTGGAGAGGATGCAGATTTTAAGGTCAAAATCACAAGATGGAATGTGGAAAAAAATTGTAAGTTAGAATCCTAACTCTGACATTTGACAAGTTATTTAACATTACTGAGCTTCAATCTGCTTGCTATGACCCCCTACTGCTGTCTCATTTCTGCATCAACTACACCTGGGACTCTGCTCCACTTTCTTCATCTTGGAAAAAGGGATATAACTGGACATCCATACCCTAAACTTCAATTACTATTAATGTACTGGTGATTCCCAAAGCCACTTTTCTATGCTAGTCTTTCCTCTGAGTCCCAACTATAGTGTCAGTAACTGGGCAGGAACCCATCTTTTCCTAAGACAATGTAAATTAATTCAAAATTTCCAAATGCCCTCCACCCCATCACGTTATTTTCCAATGTCAGGGAATAGTATCACTACACATCCATTTTCCCTCATACATCAAATCAGTCACTGGTTTCCAATTTTGGTGTCTCTTAAGTTGTCCCCTTTCCTCTATTTTTACTGCTTCTACTTATAGTTCAGTTTTGTTTTGTTTTTTTATACTTTCTTTCCTGAGTAATTACTATTAGTGTCTTGTATACCCAGGGTTTAGGGTAGGGTGACACCTTATTAGTAATAGTAATACCTTATTAGTAATAGAGTCTAAAGTCTGGACTGAGGAAGTAGATAAATTATTACATCCATGTGTGTGAGTGCTATGGTGTGTGGGGTCCTGCCGCAGGAGAAAGTACTCAGCTGATGAAGAGAACCTTAGGGGTCACATAACGAGGTAACAGTAAAAATGACCTTTAGAGGCATCTTGTATTCAATAATTAAAATATTTAAGTTCTTACTATGTGCTATGGATGATGCCACACACAACAGTCACCAAAATACAGGTCTTGCTTCCATGGAGATAATTATTTATAGGGTAGATAGTCTCACATGCCCAAATTATCTAATTAACATGTACACTTGGATGTCCAATATTTATCTCAAAAATGAACTACTGATTCCCTATACCTCCCCACCTCCACCCACGAACACCAAACCTGCTCCAATTGTAATATTTCACACATCTATTAATGGCACCTGTCTCTTGACAGTTGTCAAGGCAAAAAACATTGGCGTCATCTTTAATGTATTTTCTTTTAATAATCCACCTCCAATTCATCAGAAAATCTTGTCATCTCACCTTTAAAATGAATTCAGAACATTACCACTTCTTACTTCCTCTACTGCTGCAATTATTGCAGTAATTAATCTCCCTGCTTCTTCCTGAGACTATAGATGATTAGTTGGTTGACCGATTGGTTGACTGATGTATATAAAACCAAGAGGCCAGATAAGAACAGCTAGGAAATGAGTGTGAAAGAAGGAGCGATCTAAGGACTGGGCTCTGAAACATCCCAAATGTTAAGAAATTGGGAAGAGGCAAACAAACAGAGGGACTGAAAAGCCAGGAAGGGAGAAAAACTAGAAGAATATATAATACTGGAAACCAAAACAGGAAAGTATTGCAAGGAGAATGCATAAAAAGTTATGAATTGGCCAAAAAAGATGAGGACTCAGATTTAACGGTTAAGTTTAGAAACATAGAGATCATTCATCGTGTTGAAAAAAACTGGCTTGGGTCAGGTAGAGATGTGACTGGAGTAAATTCAAAAGAGAATGATTGGTGATAGAAAAAATAATCAATTCTTTCAAGGAGGTTGGCTCCACAGAGGAACAGAAAAATGAGGAAACAGCTGTAGGAGGAAGTATGAACCAGAGAGGGTTTTGTGTTTGTTTGTTTCTTAAGGTGAGAGACATAGTATGCTGAATGTTTCTCGAACTGATGCAGTCAGGAGGAATAAACTGATAATGCAGGAGAGCAAGGCAAGAACTGCTAGAGCAACGTGGTGTAAAGGTGAGTGATAGGAGTAAAGGCCGAATCCAGGAGATGGCTTTGGCTAAAAGCACGAACACTTTGCTGCTTGTAAGTAGAAAGAAGGTAGCACAAATGAGGACAGACTTTTTTTTAGCTTAAAATAAAGGTTTCTCTCACTTCTAAGAGAGTTTGTACAGAAACCAAAAAGAGTGAGAGAAGAGCTGGAAGGGACCATGGCAGTGGGTGGAGGAAGAGAAGAACAAAACCCAAAAGCCAGAGGTGAAGATGGATTCTGGAAGTTACCACTGCGACTATCAAAGCTTAGGTAGTGTGTGTAAAAT